CAATATATTAGAGAATTTTAAACTCATATTGAGTTTGTACATATAGGGATATTGCCTTTTTGCCTTTCAAAGACATACTTTTGAGCATAGAATTGATACAATTAATATTATCATTGCCCTTTTCTCCCACACACTTTTTCTTTTCAAGGGCCACAAATATAGCTCTGAAATAATAGGAGATCATGTTTTAACTAATTGAAAATGTGGTATATAGTTCCACTGTTCTATAATGACAGACTAACATGTATCAGATGACCTTTGTACCAATAGTAATTCTAAATTCTTGACAAAATATTAAAAAACAGAAATTGTTTATTGGCACTAGCAAGTAACTAAAAGTAGGCTGAAACTAAAAGGGATTCTATTTGTGAAATAAGGAAACCACACTGAGTGAGTTCTACATTTAAGAGATCATGTGACTTGGACCCTGAGGGTCCTCCTTAACTCATGTGGTAAATGGCTGAGAGGGCTGAAATAGAAAGCAATAGTTTATTGACATGGGAAACCACAGGACTGAATTCAGGATTGTCAGAATAGGAATTGAGGAGGAGATGCCAGAAAGGAGAGAGTCACAGATGAAGGAGCCCAAAATCTACAAATAAATCCCTCTTTAATCCTTGGTTGAGTCTATACATATGCAGAGAAAGAGTCTAAGAAGCCTAGGAAGAAAATGAAAGCTAGAAGGTGTAAATAACTGAACAGATAATTCAGCAGCTTCTTAACTGTGTGTCTACAGAATTTGGAATTTTAGTTCTCCCGAAGTTAGAGGGGGCTTGGCTAACATCTTGGGTTTTCCACTGAAACTCCAGAAGGGCCATGTGATAGGAGTAAAGACTACATCCTGGGACTAAGGGATTTATCATAGAACTAAAGGAAAAACTGAAATAGACCCACCTTAACAAAGCTTCCATATTACCTGACAGTATTTTACCTGCCTGCTAGAACAAACTTCTAAGACAATAGAATCTTCTAAGATAATAGAAGATAATAGAATCTAAAGCCTCTACCATATATTATACACAAGTTTCAATATGCCATCAGTAATTTACTAGACATGCAAAGAAATAAGAAAATGTATCCCAGCGTCAAATGAAAAATGAGTCAATACAAACAGATCCATAGCTGACCTAGATAATGGAATTGGCACATAGGGATATTAAAATAACTATGTCAAATCTGTTAAGGAATTTACGTGACTAGATAAGTAGAATGGGTGGGGAGATGGGAAATTTCAGGAGTCATAGGAAAACAGTAAGAAGAAGAACCGAATGGAAATTTTAAGAAAAAAAAATGAAATATTTGAAATTTTAAAAATTGGAATGGAATTAATAACAGATTTTTCAAAACTCAGTAATGAAAAGACAACAAAAATTAGCAAAAGACATGAGCAGACACTTCCAAAAATAAGATCTATGAATGGCCAATATACATTTGGCAAGATATCTAACCTCATTAATTATCAGGGAAATGTGCATTGAATACTCCTTTATAGTCATTAGAATTACCAGCATTAAAAAGGCCGACAACACCAAGGGATTGCCAAAATTTGAACTCTGCCACATTGCTGGGGTTATGTGTAACATGGTAATCACTTGGGAAAACTGTTATGTTCTTTATAAAATAAATATATACTTACCTAGTAATTTCACTCAATGATATTTGTCCAATGGAAATGAAAACATATAGCTACAAGATGGTTTATACAAGTATGCAGATTGATTTATAATAGCTAAAAACTAGAAATCTAATGTCTATTCACAGATGAATGGATAAAGAAATTACGGCATAGTCAACAATGGAGTATTAGAAATAAAAAGGAATGAAGTCTAAATAGATACAACACAGATGAATCTCAGAAATATTTAATATGTGTTGTGAAAGAAGGCAGTCTCTCTATCTGTATATAAAATTTGAAGTTATATAGCAGGTAAAACAGTTCTGGTGGTCAAAGTCAGAACAGGAACTCCCTCTGGGTGAGGGGAGGGGAAACTGAATGGAAAGGGCACAAGGTAGCTTTTTGGGTTGATGGAAAGGTTTTGTATCTTTATTAGCATCATGGTTACATAAATGCACACAGTTGTTAAAACTTATCAAAGCTGCATACTTAAAATATGTACATTTGATTGTGTGTACATTATAAATCATAAATACAATGGATGGGAATTTAAAAGTAATGTAATATATAGTGCTTCGATATGCCACATGCAGGAATTGAGAAGACAGTGATTTATAATGGTTAAGAGCATGGTTGCAGCATCAGACAAATCTAGGATTTTGAATCACATTGTGAGTACTTTGTGAATGTAGGCAAGTTACTAACCTCTTCTAAGATCCTATGAAATGGAGATGATAAAATTAGTATTTACCTTATAAGGTTGTCCTCAGCGCAGTGCCCAGCACATTGATGCATCCAGTACATTTAAGCTGTATTCATTATTATTAAATAGCTCTTCAGCCAGACTTTCATGGCCTGAATGCAGTCAGGAATACTGGGATAATCATGAAAATTTTGAGAATTAGATATCTGCAAACTGCATTAAGGTGCAATCTAAATAATGCAGATAATATTTGACAGCATATGATTAAGTATACTAGAAAATTACATTTTCATTATCTGTTTCAAAGTAACTAATTATCTCTTTGCCAAGAAAAAACCGTTTTCTTTAAAATACTTTTCTTTAAGCTCTTGTAAAAAATTTTCATATATAAAGAAATTAGGATATATTTTTTTCCCTATACAGTAATCTCACCCTCTGTTTCCCATCTCATAATCATATCACCAAAGGTGCATGTATTTTCAGTACATATATATGTGTGTGTACTGAATATATATATACACACATTACATATATACATTACATTACATATATACCCATATATATGTATATTCAGTACATATATATATGTATATGTCTGTGTGTATAATGTTGTAAACAAAATGGTAACCATACTATATATACTTTTCTAAACCTGGCATTTTCACTGAGAAATCTTTTCATGTGAAGGACTGTGTTTACCTATAGCTGGTCTATTCATTTTAAGTGCTTTTATACAGTCTATGGCATTGATGGGCTTTTATTTATTTAACCAGCTCCTGTTGGTGGACATCTGAGTAGATCCAGTTTTCACTATTGTAAACAACTGTGACATCCTTGTGTACATATTTTTTGAACTTGTGTTAATAATTTCATGTAATAAATTTAAAAAGTAAAACTGCTAATTGAAAGAATTTTAACAATATATTAATGTTTCTTTGTAAGGGAAAAAATTTTATGTTTCAGCATGTGTGCATAAACAGTGAGAAAAGAGTGGTTTTTCTTGCTGTTCTATATTTCTTCTTTTTAAATAAAGAAGAATTATTTCAAAATTTACACAAAATTTTGATTTAGAGTACTTAAGATAACTACCACCAAGAGGACATGTAACACTGTACTAGACACTTTGCTGAATGCCTTCCATGCACAAAATTATTCAAATTTAATGCACAACTTTGTAACTATGTGAGATACTACCATTATTGACAAGGACTTACAAGAAAACCAGTGGTTAGAGCATCCTATATCTGGTAAATGTTAAAGTCTGGATTTCAACCTAGATTTTGTGAAATATGCAGTGTAGTGTAGTCTGGAGTGAATTAATTTTGTTGTGAGTGTCTTTGAGGATGAGGTTCATTGTCAAACTTTGGTGACGTGCAAGTGGTGAAGTAATAAAGCCCAGATAATCTTGTTTCCCTATGACACTTGCGAGGCCAAAAGTGATGCCTCCCTGCCATGCAGTGGCAGCAGAAGTCAACCTGGACATTAGACAAGTCCAGGTTGTCTATATTTCCCTTAGTGCCAATAGCTTGTCCCATATCCAGCTTCCTCTAAAATAATGATAATAATAATAAAGAGCAAAGATCAATTACATGGTGTTACGAACTGTGGAGAGAAGGAGAAGTCTTCAGACTTCTAATATTCTATTTTCACATCCCAGTTACTATTACTCTCTCTTTGCCTTTATTTTACAGTCTTACTTTTTTTTTTTCTGTCCAAGGGGCCCGTTCAATAACAACCAAAACCCCAAATTCTCAGTTTCCTAATTTATGTGTCTGTGATCTTTTAGTCTTGTACCCTTCCACCTGTGCACTCACACACAGAGAGCTTTAATTTCCAGTGACATCAAATTTGTGCTCTCAAAAGGTAATTTGTGATGCCTCAATGCGAAAGGGTCCCAGATGTAAAGCCAGAGAGCTGATGAGACCTGAAGCTGGTCACAGGCATAAAGCCTGCCCCTCTGTCAGAGTCAGAGCAGCACAGAAGTTCTGCTTCAGGCCCCGCCAAGGGAGAGTAAGGGGTGGTCTTATGGGTGTTAAGCAAGACCGAATCTACCTTTGCGCAGCACCCAGTCAGACACCCTGCAGAAACACAGTCATATTTGTGTCATTCTGTTGCAGGGAGAAGTTGCTCAAAGGTTTAGTTTTGATTTTGGTAGCTTTAATTCTATTCCTTCAGTTTTGAGGTGAGCACAAATGTTTCAGAGTACCTTTCTAGGTTTCTTCCTGACCTTTTTTCTTCTCTAACCTGTGGTGTGTTAGAGGCAACACATAACAGCTTGGGAGGGAGAGACAATTGTGAGCATTTCTTCTCAACCCTGTGTTCAGTGACATCAAGTTAATAGCTTAAAATTGGATATGGGGAAAGGAATTATACCATTGAAATGGGAATATGCTCTGTATCAAGGATTCTCCCACCCCAGAGAACCTGTTGTTTAGCACACAACTTCTATAACCCTTCTACTTCTGTTCACTACATAAACACACACACACATACACACACACACACACACACACACACACACAGATAAGCTAGTGTTTGAAACATTGAACACCCTGGGTTTTCTTCCATGGGCTATGGTTATTTACAGGAAGAACAAATTGAGTTCTTTTCCTCTTCCCATCTTGAGCTTTACATTTATTTACAAATGCCAAATATAAGCTAACTTTCTTCTTTCTCCCTTAGTGGATGGCTGTATTCATAGAGCAGCTGGCCCCTGTTTGCTAGCTGAATGTCGTAACCTGAATGGCTGTGATACTGGACATGCAAAAATCACATGTGGCTATGACCTGCCTGCAAAATGTGAGTACAACTGTTTTGAATACTGTTTCAAAATCAGATGAGACGTCTTGTTTTAATCCAGTGTATAAATGGAAAAGGAAATGGCAGTGGTGGTACTTAATTAAATGTGCTTGAGTTCAGATTTTGTACATGGTAATAAAAACATGCTTTCCAAATATGTCTCCAAATATATGCAAATATATATATTATATACATAGTGTATATAATATATATATGTATATATGCACATACGATGTTTAACTATTCAAATCTTTGACGGAGTGTCTCTGAAAGGGAAATAAAAATATGAGCAAAATATACATTATAGCATTTAAGTGCCACAGAGTGACAGCTCCTGGAAATGATGCCAATTTCTTATTTCTTGTTCAGGTTTCTTGATTGTGGATGTGTTTAGAGCAAAGGAGATCAAAGTGATGTATTGTGTTTTCAGCTGCCATGTAAAGGCTGATTGGCAATTACAGCCAAGGCATCTGTCACACTTTGCTTTCAGGAAAAGCCAACGAAATCTGGTTGTCAGTGTGAGAATGTATTTGCTCTTTGAATGTGGAATGGTCAAAATTTCCATTATATTTTAATAGAGAGAAGTATTGCATTTGATTGACCTTGTTGCTTAGTCATTCAACCAACTGGGTGGCATGGTATGGGATAAAATACTTAGAGAGAAGCTGGTCAATGTCATAGCTTTTTTATCCCATAATCTTCAGGGCCTGAGGATGGAGGTAGAGGGTTTCATTGCATCATTCAGGTGTGCATTGACCTGGAAACTGAGATGCCAATTTGTCGATTATTGCATTCACCCACTTCTTATGATACTGCTGAGATCTGTGAATACATTTTATGTAAAAGTGAAGCTGGTTTTGGTTTTTATTTTAGCACTGGAGAAAACATGAATGGAAATTTATAATACAACCTATAGGATACTATGGGTTATATATAGACAGGTTATCTAACAGTGAATTTCCTGTGGATGTGTGTGAATGGAGAATAGCATGTTATATTTTAAAGATTACTGTAAAGGTATGTTTAAATTTGAGGACTTGTAGTAAATACTAATATATTAAAACAGTATTTTTCTATATCAATATAATATTGCATCCTATATTGTTCATAATAGTTTCAGTGAAAGTACTTTCATGTACTGCATAGTGATGCTTTGGTAAATGATGGAACACATATATGACAGTGGTCCTATAAGATTATAATACAGATTGAGTATCCCTTACCCAAAATGCTTGAGACCAGACATGATTTGGATTTTAGATCTTTTTTTCAGATTTTGAAATATTTGCATGTACAAAATGACGTAATTTGGAGATGGGGCCCAAGTCTAAGCACAAAATTCATTTATGTTTTATATATACCTTATACACGTAACATGAGCATAATATTATGCAATATTTTAAATAATTTTGTGCATGAAACAAAGTTTTTATTGTGTTTTGGCTGTGGCCTGTCACATGAGATAAGGTGTGGAATTTTCCACTTGTGACATCATGTTGGCACACAAAGTTTTAGATTTTGGAGCATTTTGAATTTCAAAACTTGGATTAGGGATTCAACCTGTACTATATTTTTACTGAGCCTTTTCTATGTTTAGCTATGTTTACATACTTACCATTGTGTTACAATTATTTGCAGTATTCAGTATGTAACATGTTGTACAGGTTTGTAGCCTGGGAGCCATAGGCTGTATCATATAGTCTAGGTGTGTAGTAGGCTATACCATCTAGGTTTGTGTAAGTGTACCTTATGATTGCATAACGATGAAATCACCTAAGGAGTCATTTCTCAGACCATACTCCTGTTGGTAAGCAAAGCATGATTGTATATCAACTATATATGCTGTTTAATTTTTTCTCTAATGACTTTTCATTTATTTTTCTTGTTAGTGTCTTTACCTAGTGTGAAATAGTAAAATCATGTGCCAAATGGCTCTTCACTACTACTTGGAATATGTATTTGTGTCAAAAAAAACCCTTTGTGTAGAATGGTGTTTAGAGCAGTTCTCTTTGTAACTCAGAGGTCATGATCTGTGTATTAACGGTGATTTCCCTCTCCAGAATTATATAGTGCTATTTTTTAAAATGTTGATTCTTTTCCTTTCTAATACCTTGCTACATTCATAATTTACCTAACTTATACCGCCCTGAGAAGAAGCAAGGTTGTCAACTGCTATAATAATGGCAAGATTATTGACTGTTTTCAGATTTGTATTTGTCCTTAAACCAAGCAGTATTCCAAGTCTCCTATTGATTCACTGTTTTCTTTTTTGTGTATTAAAACACAAATCAAATTTCTCCAAATCTGAACTTTCTAAAGAACAATATACTCAGAATCATTAAATACTCCCAAATAAAATGGTGGCTCTAGTGTATGGGTTCATACTGTGATAATTTTTTAAATGTGCTTGTATCTGTTTGACATCCCTCTGAATAAGTTATTCTGTTTCCTTTGAATGCCATTCATCTTATTTTAAGGTTATTGAAGACTTGCACAATACCAGGCACTGAGGAACAAAGATCAATAAGTCAATACCTGTGCTTGAAGGATTCCAATGCTTGAGTCATCACGTTGAACTGAAGTGTGGCTTTCATGGGCATCCTGGGGCAAGGGGATCTTTTGGGACCGTGAAGCTAGAAATGACGAGTCAGTTGGCAGGACTAGCTACAGAATCCATGAGAGCTGAGATCCTGAGAGCCAACACATACTCAAGTCACTGCATGCAGCCCACAGGGCATGTTTAGTAAAAACTCATCCAATAGAATAGAAATTACCAGACAGGCATTGCAGTGCCACCTCATAAAAGTCATAAACATGGAATATTTGTGACTAGGTCTTGTTTCTTCCTATATATTTAAAAGGTTAATGATTTATATTAAAAGCATAAAGGAAAGCAAGGAAAGCAATATGAAAATGAGTACTAATAGCTTACATTTTTATGCCACTTTATAGTATTTCACAGTACTTTCACAAGCCCTTATATTTAAAATTATGTTTTATAAACATTGTGTGTGTTGATTTTCCCTTTCCCTATCCCTGAGAGTTGTTTTTCTTTCTCATCAATTTGGTTTATCCATTTCAGAGTCATTAACAATCCACAGATGTGCTTTTGTAGTGAGAATGAAAAGGGAGCTCATTACATACTGTTTGGGTCATTTTTCCTCTCCATATTTAATAATTCCATGACAGTTTGACAGCAGAGACTAGTTCCTATCTGTCCTCCGAGACAGCGGGTTTATCATTATAGGGGTACTAAAGCCAGTCATCCAGCCACAAGTGATAATATCTTCATGCATCAGCAATTTGTTTAGAAAATGCTATTGTCTGGGTTACAGACAAACTTGATAATTTTGAACTGGTTTTTGCCTCTTTTATGCTTGCTAAATTAATCTATTCATAAATGGTTGTATTTGAATTAATTATGCTTGTATTCTGTGTTCTGTGACTCATCATGATTGGCAGAATGATAAGCCCCAGATATTTAGTTTACTTTTCACTGCTTGGATGTTTTGAATGATTTCTTTTTGACGTTAAGAATATCCAATCATTCTTTTCAAAAGAAATCTTAAGGGTAGAAAGAATATTGGTCAATTTTTCATTGAAGCCTATTGGTAAGGAAATGACTTAGAAAGTAGACGGAGGATTGTTTATGTAATTGGATCTTTTGGGAATCTTCTCTACAATATTAGATATTTTTTGAATTCATAATACAATTTAAATTTTTATGGATTTTTAGAAGCTTATTGACATATGGGACATTTCTATTCATGCTATCATCATTCCACCAGGTAGTAAGCTTCACATGGGCAAGATTTGTCTACCTGAGTCAGTTCCGATGTCAATATCAATCATAGTGTCTCCTAAATATGTGCTGAATTAATGTGAATAAATGAAGGATCAAATGAGTGAATTATTTCAGGACTTTTTCACTTGAAAAATAATTTTTTAAAAACACTGTTGCCTCCACTTCTAATACTTTTCCTTCTGCAATTATTCTGCACATTTCTAGTAAATTAACTTTCTTAAATCCAGAGTCCTTAAAATTGTCTACAAGACTTTACATGATGTGACATTTACTTCTCTACATCATCTCCTTCTGTGCTTCCCCAACTCACACAGGCTGCTTTGTGTGAACCTGGTCCTCAAAGCCTTTGCACTGGCATTCCCTCTGCTGGAGTTCTATTCTTCTAGATACCTACATGGCTTGTTCCTTACCTACCTCAAACTCTTGTTCAAATGTAACATCAGATGTCACCCTAACCAACCTATTTATAATTGCTTCAGTTTTTAAATTTATAATTGCTTACCTGTAAATTAAATCTTCAAATATATCATTTACTTATTTCTTTTGTTTCTTATCTGTTTCTGTCTACCAGAATATGGGCGGAGACTCTTCTTTCTGCATTTTTCTAATGTATTGCTCATTTACTTATTTCTTTTGTTTCTTATCTGTTTCTGTCTACCAGAATATGGGCAGAGACTCTTCTTTCCGCATTTTTCTAATGTATTGCTGTATTCATATAGCTTAAAAAAATGTGTGATATATAATAGGGGTTCAAAAGATATTTGTTGAATGAATGAATAAAATGTAACTCTAATCCTCTCAAAATCTGATAGTGGATTTTTCCTTAAACATAGACTCATTAGCCTGATTACCTTTGGCCTTCCACTGAACTACTTACAACCTTTTGTACGATATGAATTGCTCACAATGCTATGTGTATCCATGGGGTCTGTATCTGAGCTATCTATAATGCTCTTTCTTTGCTCCTTTCACTTGTCTTCCAGACTCAGTTCAAATATCACTTCTGCCATGAAACAAGTCTTCTCTTGTCACCTCAGCTAAAAATGCCTTCTTTTTTCTTCACACTCCAGAATACTGCATGTTAACATACTGAGGGCACTTGTCACATGCTACCTTTTATTGTTAGATATGCAAACTTTCCACCTTTATAACAGAGTACCTTGTATATCACAGGTACTAGAGAAATATCTAGCAA